CTCGGCGAGGTGGACGGCCTTCCCAGAGGCAACGTGGGCTTGTCTGAATGGCATCTGCAGTGAGAAGCAGAGGCCGCAGTCAGTGACCAGGCAACTGGGGTGTTTTTCAAAGTAAAAAATGGATGTGCTGTCTTTTTTGGTTGGCTTGATTTCACTTAGGGCAATGCCATGTGAATCCAGGTTTGTTGACCCAGACTGATCATCACCTGGGGACAGAACAGAAGGCCTCATCTCAGGCCCTCGCTGAGCAGTATTCTGCATCCAAAGGAATCACAACTCCAAGTCTCCCACTAATACTTACTCCTTTACGAACCAAGTAGAGAGCCAGGTCAGTAGACAGCATTTCAGGGCTCAGCGCCTTCTCCATGTTCTCTTTGTTGATCTGCAGAAGGAGGGTCAGAAGGAGACATTATCATCACCTCCTTCTCCTGGACGTGCTAGTGGTCACAGTGAGGGGACTTAATCTGGAAGGAACCGGGCTCTAAAAAGATCCCATAACCCTCTGAATAGCTGACATTGGGAGCCATAATGAGCAGCATGGGTGAGCCACTGAAGAGTCTTTGTCTTAGGACCAGTCTAGTGCTCTTTTACCCATCTTGCAGATGGCGTTCCCCAATCATGCTCAATAGTGAGAGACTGAAGCCTTACCTGGAGGGTAGAAATCACTCCACTGGCAACCTGGAGCACAGCATTCAGGGTGTCCACAACATCAAAGACAGCCTCCTTGTCCTCCTGCGTTAGCACAGGGATGGAAATTGCTCTAAGTCAAGCTGATGCAGCCCAAGAGCCCAACAGCCTGAGCAGCCCAGCCAGCAGAGCAGGCACATCATCCCAGGGGCTCCTGCTACGGCTGGGGTGTCAATGGCCACATGCCGTGCCTCAGCCCCTTTCTCTGTATCCTGCACACAAGCAGGGTCTGTGCAGGGAAATGTGGTGGCAAGACTGCTCAAGGGCAGAAGATGGCTGTGTCTGCTCAGAGAGGTGGTGTGAAAAGTAACATCTGTTTTACCTGCAGATCCTTGTTGTAGGTGCTTGGGAGCCCTTTGAGAACCATGAGAATAGCAGCCAACTGCAGAGAGAAACAGGTGAGAAAGTTAGCTACAGGAGGAGAAGCACAGTGCCCCAGCAGAGGTTGAGGGCCTCAGCTGGGCACATTGATTTACACAGAGGCAAGAAGGAACAATCTTCAGCCCCAGTATGAGCAGTTTCCCCATCAAACTTCTTTCTTTGGCAGGCTCACCCGTCCAAACACTCGTCCAGCTTTGCTGCGGATCAGTTCCAGGCTGTCGGGATTCTTCTTCTGAGGCATCAGGCTGCTGCCAGTGCTGAAGGAAAGGTGTGTGGAGTGTAACGGTGAGCAAGACCCCAGCCCGTACAGACACAGGTCACGCAGCATACCGACCCAGCCCTCCAAAAGCAAGACATCTGTCCCCTTACTCTGGATACCACTTTAGGGTGCAGGAAAGCAGTGAACTGTGTGTGCTGAGTTTCTCATGTTTCCCACAGCAAAGCCTTTGGTTTAGCAGTCCTGCCTGGAGCTAACATGCTGTCTCACCGCTCAAAAAGGAAGCAAAAGGAGGCTTCCCCCCATGCCCCTCCAGAGGTGATATCAGCAGGGCAGCCTCAGTGTTGCTGTGGCCTCAGAGAGGGAGGGCTGTGGTTGTGCCGCCCTGAGACAGGAAATCTGTTAGGATTGCAAATCTGCCTGGTCAGGGAAGGGCTTTGGCAGGCATTCCCAGCAGATGAGGAAGTTCTCTCTGCCAGCAGTTGCTGGGGAGGAGCGTCTGCTGAATGCAGACTTGGTTAAGTTATGGGGATCAGAAATAAGTGATTGCTCCTGAGGAGTGTTCACCCTGAGGCTGCCTTTCTGCCAGCCTTTTAATGCTGTGTGTGCAGCAGGGAGACCCCAACCACTGTCTCATTCTCTCAGGAGGGGATAGCTGAGGAGGAGTGGCTGAGTGATCAGCTCCCTGTCCATATACCTACCTATAAGCATCAGAGAGGGTCAGAAATCCAAACTCGCTGGTACTGTAGATGATGAGATCTTCAGCCATCTTGCTAAGGTGGATCATCAGCAGGGTGGCAACAGAGAGGAATTCCACTGCAGAGAGGGCAGGAAATGAGGAGATGAAAAGGGTGCTCATTTGCTTGACAACACAGGTCACAGCTTGACACCCTGACAGGTTTAAACACGAGCAAACAGATTTTCTGTATAATTACTCCCTAGTGAGGGATTTCAATTCCCTTAAAGGAGGTTAACTGGTAAGATCTCAGAAGCCTTCTTCTGACAGTGATGGGAAGATGTGCTTACCCACAAAGTCTCTCTCACTAATGGCATCCATGCTGTTCAGGCTGATGGAAGCAAAGTCCAGCTCTGTAAGGAAGGTGATGGACAGAGGCAGTCAGGCTTGGCGTGTCTGGAGCATGAATGCAGGAGGTTGCCCCAGCATGCAGGTGACTGAGCCCTTGAGTTGCCCCAGGAAAACAGACATGCTTAGTGGGATCTTTATTATTACCCCAGGCAGCCACTGTGCAGCAGAGGTGGTTCTGTTTGTGTTCGCACCTTACAGGCACCTGCTGTGTCTCTACAGTAAAAAGCCACCTGGTTTACTGAGTCATTAGGAACTGCCTCCCACCTTTGTCACTGAGTATCAGATCATATTCTTTTTTTATTTATTACCCTCCTTCCCCATGTTAAGGTGGTGCAACACATCCAAAGTAACATCAGGATAATGTGTCAAAGCTTCCCCAACTCCTATATGGGTAGTCCTGTGCCTCTCAGCCATAGGGAGACATTTACCACTACGCAGAAGCTCTCTATCAATTTCCAGTGGGTTGCCAGCCAGAGCACCGCTGCAAGGGGAGAAAGAAACAGAGGTCATGCATGATATCCTGCATACCCTAACCAAAACTGAGCTGTAGCAGGCAGTGATGACACTTCTCAGAATATTTCCCTCCCCCAGTTCATTTTGGCATCACAGTGTGGCCTGAGTCTCAGCAAACTGAACTCTGGAGTAAACCAGTTCTCTTCCAAAGAGGAATGTTTGCTTGAGGAAAGCCTTATAGTTCCTAACTTCAAGAAGGGAGAAGAACAGTATCTCTGGGGAGAGTCTTCTCTTTGGTGAGAGAAGCAAGGCTTGTGCTCTAACAACTCTGCAGTGCATACGGTATACAAACCCCAGTGGTTCAGGGGATGTAAAGATCTGCCTCTTAGCCACTTTACAGAGCAAAGTGACACCCAAGGATTACGCAGAAAGTAAACGTTACCTTCCCAAAGGCAAGACATTGATCCTCCTCTTCACCTCTCCAAGGCGCTCAGAATCACGGGTCAGAGCAACAGCATGGCTATGAAAGGACATGAGAGATGAAGCATGTTAAGTCAGAAAATGTAATGTTCCTTCTCAAACAGTATGCTGCCATGGCTTCAGGGATCCCCTCTCAAACAGAAGAGGCTTGAAATGGAGCCTAGGCACTAAGGCCCTTTGATGTGTAACAGCTAGCAGCCGTGAAAGATTCTTGATGTTACCCCAAGTGTGAAAGGTGGTTACCTGAGCAAGAACTGGCTCCATCTGATGGGCTGAGCTTTCTGCAGGTGGGTGTAGCCAGGCAAGATAACATCAATTTCTCTGCATGTGAAAGGAGAGAAAGAGGTGAGCAGCAGCTGTCAGGATAGAAGGCAGTGGCAGGTACACCCCAGGGTTTTCTACCCGGGTCACAAAGAGAACATCTTTAGCCTGTGTTGTGCTCAGATTGGTCCATCTCTTCCTCTCCCTGCCACCTTTCGACCTAAGCACACTGAGTTTCGATCTCCCAGTCATCCAGTGTGGTGTGTCTGCCCTAGGCCACCCTGGAAAATTGCCTGGTACAGTAATCCCTCTGTAGCAGGCAAAGATTCCCCAGTCCACCACCAGTTTGCAGTGTGGAGTGTGAGGAGGAGAGTTAGACAGGGCATGAACACAGATGAGCTTTTCTTGTAGGTAGCAACTTGAAAGACGTTCAACTTCCCCACTCCTTCAGATGAGTTTGGTGCCTTCTAAAGCCTGGTGTGGACCTCCCACCTCAACACCTTGGCTGAGATATACTGGGGGAAGAGGACGGTCTCTGAGACATGAACTGCAGAGGAAGGGAGCTGTTCTCTTTCCCTGTGCCACCACACACTGCCTGTCTGTAATGTCCTCTGCAGGAAGCCCTGCTGCTGCCCTGACTGCGGTCAAAGAACAAGCCTAGATGTCTCCTGCCCCTGCAAGGCCCAGGCTGTGGATATGGAAAAGGACTTACATGGCAGCACGTTCCACCAGGGTCTTAATGAGCTGCAGGAGGTGAGTAGAGATGACAGAGAGGGAATTCCTCATGAACAGCTTCAAGTCAGTCACAACCTATATGAAATTGGCCACGGTCAGACAAAGCACAATGTGACATACTTAATGACCAAATATTATTTAGCAGAAGCCTTGGCAGAGTTATCCCTTCCTTGTGCTATGTGATGGGAAGGGATATCTTCCTTTTACCAGATGCATCCCTGGTCACGGATTTGTGAAAGCTACTGTATCTTGCTTTCCATGAACAGAAACAAAGGCCATTTTTTCAGTGGGTATCTCAGGTATTGTCAACTTGGGATCAGAAAATTCCCAACCAACACATAGTCAGTCATCAATAGAAGGACTAATCCTGAAAGATGCATGGCAGCCAGCCAGTAATGTCATGATTTCTGCAGTCTTTCAGAGTGGTATCAGTGGAAGTTTGTGGCCTTTTACCACCAGGAAGGAATCCTGCAAGCCCATTCCCCTGTGTGGGTGAGTCACTGCAGCATCACTAGTTTAAAGCCCTAAGGAGTACGTGCTGGAGAGTGTCAGGGTATGCGAAAATGGGATAAAGGAATTTCATTAAGGAACTGAGATGGGGGAGGAATACAGAAGGAGGAAAAACAACCAGTTCTGTACACACCTGATCATTCCTGCTTCTTCCAGTGTGCAGCTTTCCAGCTATGTCTCCAATCAGCTCCTGAGGACAAGAGGAGGATTTCTATCAGTGTCTCTGTATTCTAAGCCGGAGACTCTGCATGAGCAGACCTCCTCCCTGCCTGGAAGGGACTCAGCTCCAGCATCCTGTGAGTAGCCAGGAGATCTCCTCTGGGGAAGGGCAAGTTTGGGTTCTGTGCTTGTACAATGCCTCTTCCACAAAAGGGTCTTGGGGACACTTGATTGTGCACCTGGGGTTTCAGTGCCACAAGGTCCAGAGGAATTTCACAGAGGGACAGAGGCATGTGCACTTAACATCAGGCAGAGCTAGCTACAGAGGGATGGGAACAAGAGGTTAGAGGATCCAAACCTTTAGTCTGCGTTCGTTGGCAGTGTGAATATCCTCATCACTTTGGGTCACCACAAAGACTCCTTTAGACCATTCCTCAGAGATCTACAAACAGCAGCAGAAACACCAGTCAGCCACTACGGTTACCCTGCTGCACGTGGGGGCTGTAAGTGTCCCCAGCAAATACCAACTTCTGCCATCCCAATGGAGATCAAGGTGTTGAGCCTCACGTGGCATTCAGGCCAAGGCTGGCTGCTCGCTGTATCCTGATATTCTATACTGCACTTGGTGGGATTCCTCTCTACGTATAATGATCCTGCAGTGTTATGGCTATAGGAGGATTTAAGCATTGCAACAAAAGGGTGAGCTGAAACGCCAGTGATTGCTTTAGCATTGTCCGCAAAGATTTTCCTATACAAACATTGTATAGAGTCACCATTGTCTATGGTGGGTGAGCAACAACAATGGATATTTTTAAAAAAGTGCTTAGCTGCTGACTTCTCTTCACCCCTATACAATGCTATGCATTGCCTCCTACTAACTCGGGCAGCCAGACTCAAAAGGATCCCAAGTGCCAGCAGAAAAAGAATATTCCTAATTCATACTGAAACAATTCCTGGTGAATGTTCAGTCTGAAGAGGATGGGCGGGCAGATCACACTGAGCACACCTCACCGAGGCACTGGGGCTGCTATAATGAGCATTGACAATGTGCTCATCGGGGCTTCAGGCTCTCGCTGGGGGCTTGTCAGCTGCTTCACGTTCTACTGCTGGGTGTTGGTGCCTTTAGTGGGATGCGATTTGAGCATCGAGCCCCTGCCCAGAATGTCTCCAGGAGTACCAAGGGCAATACACCTGGGCCTGTCATGTCTATGATTTAGGACAGCAGTCCGTTTCAGGAAAGCACTTCAGTACATGCCTAGCTCTAAGGAATAGAGCACGAGGACATTTAAAGATGCTTTTTAGAACAGCAACTCAGGGAGGCTATTACAAAATCTGTCAGATAAGGGGCCATTCATTTCAGCATGCATGACAGTTTTTGAAGGAAATAAATACCTTTTCCAGGCCACTCAGGATCTTCTCCAGCTCAGCTTTCGATAGGATGCCAGCTTTCTCCAAGGCTTTGGCATAAGCCATGCTCCCCTGTATATCAACTTCAGACAGTCTCTGATCATAGCTAATGGAAGCATTGAGCATCTCCATGACTGGATCGGTACTTCCACTGAACCTTCCTCCCCAAAGTTTACCCCCCTGAGAGAGAGCAAGAAGCGAATTAAAAGACACCTAATAACTTCAGTGAAGTTCCTATGCATTATGTAATATCCAATGATCTGTTTATCCAGTGTAGGGGCCATGCTCAGCTAAGTCCTTTCAGTGCGGTTGTACTAACCAGAAAAGTTCCTGGACTTTAAGACCTTTGGCAAGTAGCTGAAGAGGTGGAGAACATGTCACTGTCACTAGCATTTAGCCCTTAAGCTGTGAGTTCTGGCTCAGGAATCCTCCAAAATACTTTACCTATGCAGGGAGTCCTTGAAATTAATATTAGGTCAAGACCAGCATGTATTTCTCTTTTGAGCTGCAGGTCAACAACCCTTTGATAGCCTTTTAAAGAGGGGAAAAGGTAAAGCAGTCAGTGGGGAATATAATGAAAGCTAGTATCCTCCAAGTCCTTGTTGTGCTGCTGAGCTAGCAGAGAGATTTTTTGATTGACAAAGAGATGTGGGCCAGCACAAGCCACATTATGAAGGGTTTGAAGTTACTGCTTAAAGCATCTCCAGAGTCCATGATGTGCTTGTAAGCTTTGGCATAAAATTAGCCTAAAACTGGTTAAGGTTCAGACTGTAGAAAGAGTGGTCTGGGTACCTTTCAGCATCAGGACTGTTCAGAAAAACAAATAAACAAAAAGGTTTTAAACCAAAAGTTGTTTTTTCACCCAAAACAAAATTCATATAGTAACCTCACACACTTTAATGTCTCATGTACATAACTACTGCACTGGGTGACCCAAGACAGGTACACAATTCCAGCTATGCATCACAGCAGGTTGCATGTAAGCTTTTTTCACTGGTGATTCAGCAGTTGCATGGATTCGCTAGCTAAGAGCCATATATGTCACTTGATTAGAAGTTTTTTGCTTGACCAGGTAGGACACCCCCCGAAGCCCTAACTCTGGCAAACTTGCACCAAAATGGATAGAAATTTTACTTGTGTAGAGATGCTACAACTTATCCAAGATTTCAAAAGCAACTTTCCAGTGCTAGTAGGCACAAGAAAGAAATTGGAAGACATTTAAAGGGAGGGCCTAAATACAACTGTCATTGCAGAGAAGATAATTTTTAATCTACTTGATTTTTTTCAACAGCCCTCTCAAATCTCTGCTCATGCTGTACACTTTAACTACCATGGACAGCAAGAAGCTGGCAGGACAATTGCCAGCTAATTTGTGCCAGGGCTTTATCAGTCACACAAAGCACTGTTGAGTAACCTTAGAAACTTTTTCCTTAGTGACTGTCTCCATGGCTCTGCCGATCCCTGCTGAAACAACGTGCCCAGAGGACAGCAGGAGAGAGCCTATAAAGGTAAGAGTATAGGCATGTGCTTTTCAATATCTTTAAGGCAGTTTTGTCAGAAAGCTGAGGGAGGCACAGGGGGGGAAATCCAAATAGAAAAAAAGTGTTAGAGGTCCTCAGCATACATCTGGTGCCCACAGGAGCATGACATAGGGGATGCTAAATTAAAGGCCAGTACCAGAGGCTAAGCACTCGAATGAGGAACAGGTATACCTATGTATAACTTCAGTATTATGGGTCTCCTTCAAAGTAAGAAGGGGTCAGCAGAAGCATTGCAACAAATACATTTGCAATCAGGAAATCAAAACTGAAAGATTAACTTTAACTGGCTCCAGGACTCTGGTTAGAAAAGTGGCTAGTACAGTCTGACAGCTGATTGACACTTGTTTGTAACCCAGAGCAGAGAAGGCCAGGGTTGTAGTAGCCACTTGGAAGGCAGAAGGCATGACTCACTAAGATGTCTAGTCACGTCTCCCCTACCAGGCACAGAAACTGAAAATGCAGCTTTTGTACAGAGAAGTGTTTACACAAGCTGCTGTAAAGTATCTGCTGCCTAAACACAATTTGTCAGGAATGAACTGCATCGGTTATTAGTCTCTCCCAGGTACGGGAAGGAACCTGAAGGCAATGGCAGGCTGCTCAGCCGGGACTTAAACTTTAACTCAGTTGAGCCCACATCTGCCAGAGCACCCCGAGACCACCCCGCCGGAGAAGCAAAGTTCACCCTCACCTCGGCTGCCATCTCGGACGACGTTTTGCTGGTTTGCGCGGCGATCCCGGCAACTGGTGCAACCTGTGGAACAGCGAGGTGAGGCTCGGCTCTGCCGCCGGTCCCGGTGCCGGTCCCGGTCCCGGTGCCGGCGGGGTCCCCGCTGCCCACCCGGCCCCTCCGGGCCCCGCTCACCTGCTCCGTAGCGCAGCCCCGGCCGGTCGCTCGCTGCTCCCCGGCCCCTCCGCCCCGCTTTTACCCGTCTCGGCGCGGGGCCGGCCCCGCTCCCCTCGCCCCGCCCCGCCGCACAGGCTGTTTCTGCTTTGTCGGAGGGAGGGTACAGCTCTGCCGTGGCTTTTTTTTTTTTTTTTTTTTTCCTCTCTGAGTGCTGTCAGAGGCTTTTGAAGGGAATGCAGAAAGTGCATCCCAGTTTTCTTGTCCCCCTTTGGGCTTTTCTGCCCTTTAACCAGCCCTGTTGTCACAGGACCGTAGGATAATTCAGGTAGGAAGGGACCTAATCCAGCTGTCTTTCCTCTGTTCTTCTCTGTCCCGCTGTTCATCCCCTTTCTGAGTTGAAGATGAAGTCTAGGGCACAATGGGATCGCATGACTAGGGCGTGCTGCTTTCTGTAGCAGAAAGGACACGGGCAGAGTGGCATGGCTAGCATCAGGCAGCCACTTGCTACCCAGCCTGAAAGAGCTTTTACATCTGGGTTTCCAGTGTGCTGCCTTCAGTATCAGTCCAGAACAAGGCTCAAACTCTGTATCCGGCCTCATAGCCAACTATTAATTCACTGCTTCTCAAACATTTCCCCATATGATAAATTTTTTCTGGGGTGATGTCCCTGTTCCCTTTCAGACTTTCAGGCTTGCAGATGCACAGAGCATCATGCTGTCTACACTGAGAAAACCTCTGAACCATTTTGTTGCCAGGATCCTTCCTCTTCTGAAGTCACTCATTTTTAATGCTTCTCTTGTTGTGTTCATCTTTTATGAATTTCTGTCCTTATTCTAAGCTTTGATAGGAGGTTGATGAGGATTTGGAAAAATAGTAAGCTCTAGATTTACATCCAGAATGATTCATATGCAAGGAGAGGCTTTACCTTGTGGTGTTTGTGATATGGGCTCCAGATTGACTATGTGGAACATGCATAACCTATTCAAAGATTGATCTCACTCAGAGACCAATTGTAACCTGCAGGGCTAGAAAATGGAAGATGGGATCTCTGAGGCACTTTCAGAGTTGCCCTGAATCTACTTTGCTATTTGTGTTTTCACATCATTAACCCTATGTATGTGTGGTACGTGAAAGCTTTGGTTTCTAAATATTACCTGTATTTAAACAGTTACATGGTTAAATATACCAGTGAAAGCTCCAGTTTCTGTTCCATTAGTTCCAGGCCTCTTTGTAATTTTTTTCTACCTATCTGTATGTGCATCTGTCTGTAGCATGAGGAATAGAAATGTTTGAAGAATCACAGTGAAGTTAGTTTGGGTTGCCCCTGGCAAAGAGGAGTCCAGTCTAGATGGACACGTTTGGATATTGCTGTCTCAAATTCATCCATGGTGCCTGCAGGGGACGTTGCAGTCATGCAGTGCATCTGTTCTCACAACTCTCTTGTGGTGGCAGAGAAATGTTATTAGCTCAGCTTCTTCAATAGAGAGCTAGGGGATAAAAAGACCAGGCACAGGGAATTGTTTAGGAGACAAAATATTCAGCAGAATTTTTCCAGAGTATAAAAGCAGGTTAGAGATCGTTTCCTTGGGGGTACCCAGAGAACAATTTACTACTTTTTGTAATGTTTCAAGAGCTCTTCTGTAGGTTTGTTATCTGCTTGGGTGTCAGATCAGTTACATAGCCATCTGCTGAGAGTTTCAGTAGTTCATGATCAGCCTACATGAATTCTTGGCTTAAGTCCCTTCCTGTGGTCTGTATTGGAGCAGGGATTTAAGAGCAAGTCCAGAGTAGTGTCCAAGTCACCAATCCTTCTGTTTATCTAGGTCTTCCTGTGGTAAGGGACAGGGCTTTAAAAACCCAGATCACAATGAGTCATAGTATGGTGATGGTGAAAACCTGAAGATACGGTGGAGCACACACTCTTATAATATCTGTGGAGCTTCAGAGACCTCCACAGGTTCCTCCCAATGTAAATTACTTCACAATTTTAAGAAAAGGGCAGGTGGGTGGAAAGTACCAGTGATTATGAAGTACTCATTTAAGTAGGAGACTGAGATGTGATAATCTCCTAAGACCTCCCTTTTCCTTTCAGTTTGGCAGGGCCCTGCATCACTCAGCACTGGCCATGAGGAACAATGCCAGATGTTCACTGCTGGGAGTGAGAGAAAATCTATTCAGCTGAGGTCTCTGGAGGCACTGATCAGGAGCTAGAAGGTACAAATAAGGAAAGAGAGGGGAGTGGCACAGATCAAGAAAGCTTATGGGAGAAAAAGGAACTGTGAGGTGAAGATATAGAGATATTCCTTCTTCTGACTCTGTATGTATTGGGTATTGGTGTCACCTCTCTTTCTTGACCCTTTCTGCCATCAGCTAAGTGTGCATAAGTGATTTCCTGGCCACAGATAACCTATCTGGGGAGGGAGACACAAGTGCCAAAACAGAAATTCAGTGGGAAATAAGAGCAAACACAAAGGAAGTTTATGGAGTGGGGATTGAAATGTGCAGTTCTTTAAATGTCAGCAGAATAGATCAGCCTTATGGTTGGAGTAAAGGGGGACTGAGGGTGAGGGGAAGTGTTGAAGAAAGTTAAGTTTTCTGTTGCTGGTTCTTCTCCCACGTGTTTAAAGCACAAATGCTACAAAGGTAGGGTGAAAGCACTTTGTGTCTGCTGGAGTACTTCGTTAATGGCAGGAGATATAGCTCATGGCAGTTTGTACTGTCTGTGCTGCAGCCCTTAACCTAAACGTGGTGAGGCAATGCCTGTGATAATTGCCATTACCTATGTGAGTTACAAAGTCTTGCAGTACTGAGTCAATAATGTGTTGCTGCATCAGCATGGCGGGCAGGGTGCTGAGCAAACTACCATCTTTAAAATCCTGTGACAGAAAATAAATTGTCCGTGACAAAACTAGTGCTACTGAGCTGTGGGTGCCAGGTTCAAGCTGGTTTAGTGTTTAATGAAAATTGCCCCACCTTCCCTGTAGACAACTGTTCTTTCTCTACCTTTTGAATCAGGTAGCAGACATATTCCATCTAGAAATGACTGCAGAACAATAGTGGGGAATAATGTTTCAAGTGCTGCTTTAATCAAATATTTTCACTCTCTGAAAGACACAAGCTTGCTGCATTCTCATTCCCCAAGTAAGGCTTTTCCTGGTCTTTGTTGTGATTATATATTTGTAAGGACGGAAGGGAGACAGTATAAGATTTGTAAGAGGCAGCCAGCCATGCCAGTCTCTTTTCAAGCATTCTTCCCCAGCCAGCTTGTCCTGGGTCACACACAGGAAAAAACTTGACTTGGGATTGTGCAGCCCCTGTGCTTTGGAAGAAACCAGAGCCAAAGGTGGTTTTGTGATGGGCTGGGATGACCTGTGAGTTGACCTGCTGGCCAAGTTCTGCCTAAGACTATGCAAATTCCAGTGTCAGGTGGTAAGGAGCCTTCTTTTGGCCATTTAATCCCTCCTGCCAGAAGGCAGGCAGGAAAGCATACTCCTATGAGGAGGGCAGTCATAGCTGGAGATGGGGTATGTGTTGCAGATGCAGTACCAGGTGCACTCTATGCACACCCACAAGCTCCCCTCAGCACACTGTGTAGCCTGCTCTGTCACTGCTGGATCCACCCTTGTGCTGCATAGAATCATACAGTCACTGAGGTTGGAAAAGACCCTTAAGACCATTAAGTCCAACCATTAACCTAGCACTGTCAAGCCCACCACTAAACCATGTCCCTAAGCACCATATCTACACAACTTTTAAATACATTCAGGGATGGTGAATCAACCACTTCCCTGGGCAGACCGTTCCAGTGCTTGACAGCCCTTTCAGTGAATATATTTTTCCTAATATCCAGTCTAAACCTCACCAGATGCAACTCGAGGCCATTTCCGCTCATCCTATCACTTGTTACTTGGGAGAAGAGACCAGCACCTACCTCCCACTCTTCTTTGGGGTAGTTGTCGAGAGCAATAAGAACTCTCCTGAGCTTCCTTTACTCCAGACTACAACCCCAGTCCCCTCAGCTGCTCCTCATAAGACTTATTTTCTAGACCCTTCAGCAGCTTCATTGCTCATCTTTGGACATGCTCCAGCACTTCATTGTCTTCCTTGTAGTGAGGGGCCCAAAACTGAACACAGTATTTGAGGTGTGGTCTCATCAGTGTCAAGTATAAGGGGATGCTCACTTTCCTAGAGCACTACTCTCCCTTCCAATACATACATTTTCAGGTCTCTTGAATAAAGACATTCCTGCTGCTCTCTACCTATAAATCCCCAAGAGCTTGAACACCCCATAGCCAGCTCTAAGGCCAGGGAGGGGAGAGTCCCTGTTATTTCACACCAGTGAACATCTCCCCAAGCCTCACAAGGGATGAGGAAGCTCAACTCAATCTTGCTGCTAAGAAGAAAGACACAAAACAGGAGTTTCATTGAACTACATACACCACAGTATTTATTAACTCTAGATTAGTGTGATAGGCACACAATGCTGCATCCACGGGATAATATCTCCCCACACTTTAAGCTTGTTCCTTCAGCTTCTTCAGCAACTCCCTGAGCTGCTCGATCTGGGCAGACACGCTGCTCTTGGCGGTGCCGCCCATGGCTGTGTACTGCTCCACGCTGTTGACAACGTTGAAGACCTGGGAGACATCGCTGCCAAACAGGGGGCTGGGGATGCAAAGAAAAGAGGTGGCAGTGAGAGTGCTGGGTGCTGTTGGCTGGCTTTACATGCTCACTGCCTGCAGGGAGGGGGAGGGAGTGGAAACAGAGCGTTTTTCCAAGGGGAAAGGCCTCCTGCAGTCCTGCTTCTGCACTTCTAGTGCCAGACAATAGCTGCTTGTGGCCAACCAAAGAGTCGGCTCCAAGGGGAGAATGAGGAAGTTTGGAGCCAATCTCTTTCTGGAGGCTTGGTGCCTCCAGGTCAGCGCGTGAGTTTTTTCCACCCTCTCCCACTAGCAGGTGCCCATGTCCTGCTGGAGCCAATGGTAGTGACGTTGTGTCCCTTCAGTGTTCTCGGGCACAGCAGTAGCAGCACTGATATTCAGGCCAGGAGGATTTTGGGGTGCTGTCTGGCTCAGGCATGCTGGGGAAGGGCACCACGCAAAGAAGCCCCACACAAAGGGAGGCCGATACCTGCCTGTTGAGGGAAGTCATGGTACAGTAATAGTGATACAAACCTGATGCTCTTCAGGTCATCCAGGCTGAGATTATTGATGGTGATGCCTTTAGACTCGGCGAGGTGGACGGCCTTCCCAGAGGCAACGTGGGCTTGTCTGAATGGCATCTGCAGTGAGAAGCAGAGGCCGCAGTCAGTGACCAGGCAACTGGGGTGTTTTTCAAAGTAAAAAATGGATGTGCTGTCTGTTTTGGTTGGCTTGATTTCACTTAGGGCAATGCCATGTGAATCCAGGTTTTCTGGAGTGTGGTGAGGGGAGGTATTAGGAGGTAAAACTCTACATGTAAATTACTATCAAATCCACCGGGTAGCATTTCCACTAATTGGGATATATGTAAAGAATGTGTTTCCAGCTTTCATGTTTGTTGACCCAGAATGATCATCACCCAGGGACAGAACAGAAGGCCTGATCTCAGGCTCTCCCTGAGCAGTATTCTGCATCCAGAGGAATCACAGCTCTCAGTCTTCCACTAATACTTACTCCTTTATGAACCAAGTAGAGAGCCAGATCGGAAGACAGGATCTCAGGGGTCAGCGCCTTCTCCATGTTCTCTTTGTTGATCTGCAGAAACGAGGGCCAGAGGGAGACATCATCATCAGTGTTTCATTAGGGTTATGTTAGCTGACATTGGGAGCCATAATGAGCAGCATGGGTGAGCCACTGAAGAGTCTTTGTCTTAGGACCAGTCTAGTGCTCTTTTACCCGTCTTGCAGATGGCGTGCCCCAATCATGCTCAATAGTGAGAGACTGAAGCCTTACCTGGAGGGTAGAAATCACTCCACTGGCAACCTGGAGCACAGCATTCAGGGTGTCCACAACATCAAAGACAGCCTCCTTGTCCTCCTGCGTTAGCACAGGGATGGAAATTGCTCTAAGTCAAGCTGATGCAGCCCAAGAGCCCAACAGCCTGAGCAGCCCAGCCAGCAGAGCAGGCACATCATCCCAGGGGCTCCTGCTACGGCTGGGGTGTCAATGGCCACATGCCGTGCCTCAGCCCCTTTCTCTGTATCCTGCACACAAGCAGGGTCTGTGCAGGGAAATGCGGTGGCAAGACTGCTCAAGGGCAGAAGATGGCTGTGTCTGCTCAGAGAGGTGGTGTGAAAAGTAACATCTGTTTTACCTGCAGATCCTTGTTGTAGGTGCTTGGGAGCCCTTTGAGAACCATGAGAATAGCAGCCAACTGCAGAGAGAAACAGGTGAGAAAGTTAGCTACAGGAGGAGAAGCACAGTGCCCCAGCAGAGGTTGAGGGCCTCAGCTGGGCACATTGCTTTACACAGAGGCAAGAAGGAACAATCTTCAGCCCCAGTATGAGCAGTTTCCCCATCAAACTTCTTTCTTTGGCAGGCTCACCCGTCCAAACACTCGTCCAGCTTTGCTGCGGATCAGTTCCAGGCTGTCGGGATTCTTCTTCTGAGGCATCAGGCTGCTGCCAGTGCTGAAGGAAAGGTGTGTGGAGTGTAACGGTGAGCAAGACCCCAGCCCGTACAGACACGGGTCACGCATCATACCGACCCAGCCCTCCAAAAGCAAGACATCTGTCCCCCTACTCTGGACACCACTTTAGGGTGCAGGAAAGCAGTGAACTGCGTGTGCTGAGTTTCTCATGTTTCCCACAGCAAAGCCTTTGCTTTTGCAGTCCTGCCCGGAGCTAACATGCTGTCTCACCGCTCAAAAAGGAAGCAAAAGGAGGCTTCCCCCCATGCCCCTCCAGAGGTGATATCAGCAGGGCAGCCTCAGTGTTGCTGTGACCTCAGAGAGGGAGGGCTGTGGTTGTGCCGCCCTGAGACAGGAAATCTGTTAGGATTGCAAATCTGCCTGGTCAGGGAAGGGCTTTGGCAGGCATTCCCAGCAGATGAGGAAGTTCTCTCTGCCAGCAGTTGCTGGGGAGGAGCGTCTGCTGAATGCAGACTTGGTTAAGTTATGGGGATCAGAAATAAGTGATTGCTCCTGAGGAGTGTTCACCCTGAGGCTGCCTTTCTGCCAGCCTTTTAATGCTGTGTGTGCAGCAGGGAGACCCCAACCACTGTCTCATTCTCTCAGGAGGGGATAGCTGAGGGTAATTACTCCCCAAAGACCAGAAACCTACCAGTAGGTATCAGAGAGGGTCAGAAATCCAAACTCGCTGGTACTGTAGATGATGAGATCTTCAGCCATCTTGCTAAGGTGGATCATCAGCAGGGTGGCAACAGAGAGGAATTCCACTGCAGAGAGGGCAGGAAATGAGGAGATGAAAAAGGTGCTCGTTTGCTTGATAACCCAGGGAGCCCTGACTGGAGAATTTGGAGTTGCTTCCTAGTGAGGGATTTCAGTCCCGTTTTTAAAGGATGTTAACTGTGAATATATCATATTCCTGCTTCTAAAATAGTGGTGGGAAGATGTGATTGCATTGTGCTTACCCACAAAATCTCTCTCGCTAACGGCATCCATGCTGTTCAGGCTGATGGAAGCAAAGTCCAGCTCTGTAAGGAAGGTGATGGACAGAGGCAGTCAGGCTTTGCATGTCTGGAGCCTGAATGCAGGAGGTTCCCCAGCATGCAGGTGACTGAGCCCTCGAGTAGTCCCAGGAAAATAAACATGCTTAAGTGTTACACTGACTGAGGTTTTTGTTATTAGCCCCAGGCAGCCACTGTGCAGCAGAGGTGGCTCTACCTGCTGCGAACTCACAGGCACTGCCTGTCTCTTTGCAGTAAAAAGCCTTGTAAAAGAAAGGCTTTGACTCCAGAACAGTACATTTCTGTGCCATTGGGAGCCATGTATCAATGCTTCCCTCCCTCCAAGGTCTTACAAGCAGTCCTGTGCCACTCAATCATAGGGAGACATTTACCACTACGCAGAAGCTCTCTATCAATTTCCAGTGGGTTGCCAGCCAGAGCACCGCTGCCAGGGGAGAAAGAAACAGAAGTCATGCATGATATCCTCCATATCCCAATCAAAACTGAGCTCTAGGAAGCAGGGAAGACACCTTTGAAGACTTTGCAGAGGAAAGCAAGACCTAGTGATTACACAAACGGTAGACCTTACCTTCCCAAAGGCAAGACATTGATCCTCCTCTTCACCTCTCCAAGGCGCTCAGAATCACGGGTCAGAGCAACAGCATGGCTATGAAAGGACATGAGAGATGAAGCATGTTAAGTCAGAAAATGTAATGTTCCTTCTCAAACAGTATGCTGCCATGGCTTCAGGGATCCCCTCTCAAACAGAAGAGGCTTGAAATGGAGCCTAGGCACTAAGGCCCTTTGATGTGTAACAGCTAGCAGCCATGAAAGATTCTTGATGTTACCCCAAGTGTGAAAGGTGGTTACCTGAGCAAGAACTGGCTCCATCTGATGGGCTGAGCTTTCTGCAGGTGGGTGTAGCCAGGCAAGATAACATCAATTTCTCTGCATGTGAAAGGAGAGAAAGAGGTGAGCAGCAGCTGTCAGGATAGAAGGCAGTGGCAGGTACACCCCAGGGTTTTCTACCCGGGTCACAAAGAGAACATCTTTAGCCTGTGTTGTGCTTAGATTGGTCCATCTCTTCCTCTCCCTGCCACCTTTCGACCTAAGCACACTGAGTTTCGATCTCCCAGTCATCCAGTGTGGTGTGTCTGCCCTAGGCCACCCTGGAAAATTGCCTGGTACAGTAATCCCTCTGTAGCAGGCAAAGATTCCCCAGTCCACCACCAGTATGCAGTGTGGAGTGTGAGGAGGAGAGTTAGACAGGGCATGAACACAGATGAGCTTTTCTTGTAGGTAGCAACTTGAAAGACGTTCAACTTCCCCACTCCTTCAGATGAGTTTGGTGCCTTCTAAAGCCTGGTGTGGACCTCCCACCTCAACACCTTGGCTGAGATATACTGGGGGAAGAGGACGGTCTCTGAGACATGAACTGCAGAGGAAGGGAGCTGTTCTCTTTCCCTGTGCCACCACACACTGCCTGTCTGTAATGTCCTCTGCAGGAAGCCCTGCTGCTGCCCTGACTGCGGTCAAAGAACAAGCCTAGATGTCTCCTGCCCCTGCAAGGCCCAGGCTGTGGATATGGAAAAGGACTTACATGGCAGCACGTTCCACCAGGGTCCTAATGAGCTGCAGGAGGTGAGTAGAGATGACAGAGAGGGAATTCTTCATGAACAGCTTCAAGTCAGTCACAACCTATATGAAATTGGCCACGGTCAGACAAAGCACAGTGTGACATACTTAATGACCAAATATTATTTAGCAGACGCCTTGGCAGAGTTATCCCTTCCTTGTGCTATGTGATGGGAAGGGATATTTTCCTTTTACCAGATGCATCCCTGGTCACAGATTTGTGAAAGCTACTGTATCTTGCTTTCCATGAACAGAATCAAAGCCCATTTTTTCAGTGGGTATCTCAGGTATTGTTGACTTGGGATCAGAAAATTCCCAACCAACACATAGTCAGTCATCAATAGAAGGACTAATCCTGAAAGATGCATGGCAGCCAGCCAGTAATGTCATGATTTCTGCAGTCTTTCAGAGTGGTATCAGTGGAAGTTTGTGGCCTTTTACCACCAGGAAGGAATCCTGCAAGCCCATTCCCCTGTGTGGGTGAGTCACTGCAGCATCACTAGTTTAAAGCCCTGAGGAGTACGTGCTGGAGAGTGTCAGGGTATGCGAAAATGGGATAAAGGAATTTCATTAAGGAACTGAGATGGGGGAGGAATACAGAAGGAGGAAAAACAACCAGTTCTGTACACACCTGATCATTCCTGCTTCTTCCAGTGTGCAGCTTTCCAGCTACGTCTCCAATCAGCTCCTGAGGACAAGAGGAGGATTTCTATCAGTGTCTCTGTATTCTAAGCCGGAGACTCTGCATGAGCAGACCTCCTCCCTGCCTGGAAGGGACTCAGCTCCAGCATCCTGTGAGTAGCCAGGAGATCTCCTCTGGGGAAGGGCAAGTTTGGGTTCTGTGCTTGTACAATGCCTCTTCCACAAAAGGGTCTTGGGGACACTTGATTGTGCACCTGGGGTTTCAGTGCCACAAGGTCCAGAGGAATTTCACAGAGGGACAGAGGCGTGTGCACTTAACATCAGGCAGAGCTAGCTACAGAGGGATGGGAACAAGAGGTTAGAGGATCCAAACCTTTAGTCTGCGTTCGTTGGCAGTGTGAATATCCTCATCACTTTGGGTCACCACAAAGACTCCTTTAGACCATTCCTCAGAGATCTACAAACAGCAGCAGAAACACCAGTCAGCCACTATGGTTACCCTGCTGCACGTGGGGGCTGTAAGTGTCCCCAGCAAATACCAACTTCTGCCATCCCAATGGAGATCAAGGTGTTGAGCCTCACGTGGCATTCAGGCCAAGGCTGGCTGCTCGCTGTATCCTGATATTCTATACTGCACTTGGTGGGATTCCTCTCTACACATGATGATCCTGCAGTGTTATGGCTATAGGAGGATTTAAGCATTGCAACAAAAGGGTGAGCTGAAACGCCAGTGATTGCTTTAGCATTGTCCGCAAAGATTTTCCTATACAAACATTGTATAGAGTCACCATTGTCTATGGTGGGTGAGCAACAACAATGGATATTTTTAAAAAAGTGCTTAGCTGCTGACTTCTCTTCACCCCTATACAATGCTATGCATTGCCTCCTACTAACTCGGGCAGCCAGACTCAAAAGGATCCCAAGTGCCAGCAGAAAAAGAATATTCCTAATTCATACTGAAACAATTCCTGGTGAATGTTCAGTCTGAAGAGGATGGGCGGGCAGATCACACTGAGCACACCTCACCGAGGCACTGGGGCTGCTGTAATGAGCATTGACAATGTGCTCATCGGGGCTTCAGGCTCTCGCTGGGGGCTTGTCAGCTGCTTCACGTTCTACTGCTGGGTGTTGGTGCCTTTAGTGGGATGCGATTTGAGCATCGAGCCCCTGCCCAGAATGTCTCCAGGAGTACCAAGGGCAACTCAGGGAGTCTACTACAGATAATGTCAGAAATGTAGCCATTCGTTCCAGCACACGTAACAGATGTGAAGGAAATAAATACCTTTTCCAGGCCACTCAGAATCTTCTCCAGCTCAGTTTTAGATAGGATGCCAGCTTTCTCCAAGGCTTTGGCATAAGCCATGCTCCCCTGGATATCAACTTCAGAAAGTCTCTGATCATAGCTAATGGAAGAGCTGAGCATCTCCATGACTGGATCTGTACTTCCAACAAACCTTCCTCCCAACATTTTATCACCCTGAAAGTAATGAAATTAAGAGACATGTTCAGAAGACTTACCAAAATGTCCCCTAAAAAGTAGTTAATATCCATCCCACTCCTTATCCAAGTAAAACTGAAGCAATGCTCAGCTATGTCCTTTCAGTGTGGTAGCACTAACCAGAAAAGCTCCTGGACTTTTAAGACTTTTGGCAAGTAGCTGAAGAGGTGGAGAACATGTCACTCTCACTAGCATTTAGCCCTAGTCAACTCTGGCTCAGGAATCCTCCAAGATACTTTACTCCAGCAGGACTCCAGAGGGACTATGTTCTGACTGCAAAAACAAATATCAGGGCATATGGTGCAAGACCAGCATGGATCTTTAAAGGCAGCTACTGATCACTGACCCTTTGATAGTCTCCTAATAGGGAAAAAGATGGAGTCAGGCATATAGTGAAAGCTACCTACTAGTGTCTACTTTATAGATACTATGTAGATACTAGTATATAGTATCTATATAGATATATGTAGATATCTATATATACTGTAGATATTAGTATAGTATCTAGATACTAGTAGATAGCTTTCACTATATTTCTGACTAGTAGGTACTAGAAAGTATCTGCTGGTAGTTGAAATAATATTTTTGAAAAACCCACTCTTTTAGGAAGACCATAAAAAAATATTCAATTGACAAAGAGCTGTGGGCCAGCAAAGGCCACATCCCCTAAAACACTCCTGTGCCTATGAAGTTACCATTTGATGCATCTCCAGAGTCCCTGAGGTTCTTGTAAGCTTTGGCATAAAATTAGCATAAAACTGGTTAAGATGCAGACTCCAGAAAGGGAGCTCTGGGTAACTGTCAGCATTACAAATGTTCAGGGGAAAAAGAAACGGAAAGAAAAAGACAGCAATAGCCACGACTCCCAACTCCTGTTCGGAAGGTCCGTGAGCTACCATGGACAGCGGGCGGGGCCGGGGGCCCCAGCGGCCCTTTCCCCAGCGGTGCCGGGAGCCGCCAGCGGAGAGCCTGCGGAGGTCAGGGTGCGGGCACGGGGTGCTGGAGATCTCTTTTTGAAGCAGCTTTGTCAGTAGGAGCTGCAGCGGTGGATGTGTGTGTGGGGGGGAAATCGGAGTTGAAAAAGCAAAGTTTTGCAGCTCCTGGCTGGGAAACCAGGCCCCTGAGGTGAGCGGTAGAGGGGATGGGGCGCTTGGGGATGGGAGCCGAGCGCTCGGATGAAGAAGAGGTACCTGAGTATTTGTTTGAGGTATCTAAGTATATCTTCGCTACCGTGGGTTTTCACGAGAATCAGAGATGGGCTGTCAGAAATATTGCAGCGAATGTGCTCGCTGTCCCCTTCTCCCCTTAAACCCCGGTAAAACAAACCAATTAAAGAGAAGCACCCGAAGGAGCGTGGGAGGCTGCGGGGCTGGGGATATCGCACCCACGTCTGCCAGAGCACCCCGAGACCACCCCGCCGGAGAAGCAAAGTTCCCCCTCACCTCGGCTGCCATCTCGGACGACGTTTTGCTGGTTTGCGCGGCGATCCCGGCAACTGGTGCAACCTGTGGAACAGCGAGGTGAGGCTCGGCTCTGCCGCCGGTCCCGGTGCCGGTCCCGGTCCCGGTGCCGGTCGGCGGGGTCCCCGCTGCCCACCCGGCCCCTCCGGGCCCCGCTCACCTGCTCCGTAGCGCAGCCCCGGGCGGTCGCTCGCTGCTCCCCGGCCCCTCCGCCCCGCTTTTACCCGTCTCGGCGCGGGGCCGGCGGCTCGTCCCGTCCCGTCCCGCCCCGGCGGGGCGGGGTGTCCCCGGGGCCGGCCCCGCTCCCGTCCCCCCCTCGGCCCCCTTCGCCCTTCCCACCCCTCTCCTGCCTCCGGCCCCCGCTCGACCAGCGCATGATTAGCAAGTCAGGGCGAGAAGTTTTCTCTGGAGGTAGGGTTGCTGCAAGGAGGAGGGTTGGAAGAGTTGCTTGTTAGTGAAGGTGTTGGTGTAGCTTTAGGCAGTGCTTCTGCAGTGCCAGAAGGTGTTTTTGTGGACAGGTCAGCTCCTTTTCTGGGATACCCTTGTACTGAAGGAGTCACATCACTCTGTCACACCCCTCTAATGAGTAGTCTTTGATATGAATGTAATTGATACGATGGCTGGATCATCATTGCTCTGTCCCCATTGCCACCCCAGCAAACACACAAGAATTAAATAAATGGGAGCACGTTGTTCTTTCCCATTTCTCTGTGGATGAGTCCTGTCACCCCACTTGTAGGGATGCTGCAGCTCCAGCTTTGGGGCTTCCCGGCTGTCACCAGTGGCACGGGGTCACTCTTGCCAGGAGGCTCCTGTCGGCCTCAGACTGTGGGCTGTGAGGTTGTGTTCTGCAGCCTTGGCAAATAGCCTGTATCTTGAATTCATCAAACCCTAAATATCATTGAAGTAAAGAACTGGTTTAAAATACAAGAGAGCTTTGGGAGCAGCAAGTCACAAAGCTATAGCTTGGCACCAGTTTCTCATTAACTTCTCAGACACAAAGCATTTCTCTGCAGCTACACCACAGAAAGCTGAACGCTTGCTGGTTTGCCTTACTGAATGTGCTACTACAGTATAGTATTTCTCTATCTACATGGTCCAAACCTTTCTCAGAGCTCAGGAAACATACTCCAACTTTCCTGTCCACATTTTGCTGTGTTATTTTCTTCCCTTTAACCGACCCTCTTGTCTTTTTTCTACCGTTCTCTCAGTTCTGCAGTTTACCTCCTTTCCTGTTTACACTAGGACATTTACACTATGAAATAGTGTTTGATCATTTTGTGATCGTGTTCCATCCTCCTCTGAAATCCCTCATTTTTACCACTTTTCTTGCCTTGTTCACCCTTTAGGAGTGTCCTTGTCCTTACTCTGGGCTTTAACAGGAGATTGCTGATATGTTGGGAAAATAGTAAGAAAATAACCAGAGTGAATTTTTGTTAATAAGATCTTATTAATCTATGTCTGATTATACATGTGGTAAGGGCGCGTGCTTTCACATGGGATCTGTCAGCAGTATCGCTGTGTGTTTAGCAAACTTCATAGGGATTAGTTTGCTTGTAGTATGCTGCTTCACTCCTGTCCCAGTTTGTATCTAGGAGATTATTAATTCTCTCTTTTCCCATTTTTAGATGAAACAGGCAATAACTATCCTTTCTGTGTAATAAGCAATGTAGAATATAGAGTAATATTTTTATAATAAAAATGGAAGTGAAACTGTAAATCCAAGCAGAAGCCATGAATGTAAAAATGAACATCAAAGAAATAGGATTTTTTAAAGATGCTTGGAGCTGGAGAGTTTAACTTTTTTTGAGGAGAAAACAGTGAAATAGCTTTGCAAAATAGGTTTCTTAATGCACACTGAAATGTATTCTTATTACTGGCTTCTCTATCTGTTCTGGTTTGGATGGTTCTCTACTTCCCATCATCTTCTTTCAGTAATTTATTTGCTTAGTGCAATAGAAAGATTAACCCCACAAATCCCCACCCCACAGTTAAATAGTAAGGCAGGCCTGAGGAGAAGGTCTTCCACTTATTTTCCCTTCTGGCACAGCAAATGGCACATCGTACATACATTAATATGCCCAGCTACACCCTTTACCAAGCTGACATACAGTGAAGCAGCACTGGAGAGTAAATTGCCCATTTTGAAGCATGGAGAAGTTTAATTAAATATAGTTTAATGTCCTCAAAGATTTTAACTTTATTTGTACTTGCTTTTGTAATCAGTCACGGCATTACTATTTCTTTCAGAGAGTGCTTTTTGTTGGAAGAGTGCAATATTTGGGGACTGCAGCTCTGAAGGAGTGCCTTAGTGGTTTCTAGAAATACACTTTTCATAATGGGACTTATTTTCATAAGTGAGTCCAGTGAAGAAAAAGGACAGCATAAGCTGCTACCGTGCACTTTCTTTAAAAACATTATTTTTTAACTGTCATTTTGGTTTAGAAAAAGAAAAAAAAGCTCTATGGACTGAAAGTGCTAGTCAAATGCACTGTCAGCTAGAGAGATGTGAAGTGGTGCTGACATTTTTTGTTAAAAAAAACCCCAACTTTGTTTAATGAATTTTGAATGTAAAAGAAAAAAAGACACTATAGGGTGATCAGCGAAATGCTGAATACAGTAAACATCTTTCATGACAAAGAATACAAATACCCTGCAGATCTGCTTTCAATAGCAATTACTAGGCCCCCTGCTTTCAATAGTTAATACCGAGGCCCCTCTCTCACCGAGCCTTAGTGGTAACAATCACAAGCCAATGCTTAAAATGTTGACATGCTAAGCACATTTAGAAAAACCTATGTCTGCATTCCCTATGGATGGTGTAGCATAACTGTCTAACACCTAAAGTGCAGCAATTAAAAACAAAGTGAACTGAGCTAACCACCTCATCTCCCGAAAAGCTGTATGTAAAGGGAATGAGTTCTCTCCTAGATATTCCCCTTCCCCTTGCATGATGTCACTGGACCTGTACCTGTTCCATATATGCATTTACACCCTTAACAGGAACAGGTTGTATGTTGTAACTGGAAAATATTTAGGTAGAATATTAGAAAAGCAATTGAAAACTGTTGAGAGAGACATTTGTGTTATGCTCTTTCATTCCTGCTTCTGGGATCAGGCATCATCATCATGGATTGTAAAAAAGTATATCAGCAAAGGTCTGGAACTAAACTTTTGGAGAAACAGTGAAAATTAAGATGAAAAGTTGGTGCTGGGGGAGAGATATCAAGAGGAGATGCAAAGGAGAAATAAAATTAATATGCTGAAGATTCTGAACCCGTATCTAAAGAGGGTGATGAGAGGCAGGCAAGGATAGTAGATTTCTGGAACAAAACTCTGAAATTCGATTGTCTGGAAATACCATCTTTTCAAATGAAAGCTGACATCCTTTCTCTTCTTGTCCTCCCTTTAGCCTGGCTGGGAGCTGGTGTACAGACAGTTTCATGTGCAGGTTTTGGAACATGGCAGAGAAGTTACAGAGCATTTGCTGTGCCGGTTTTGGCCAATTTACAAGGTCAGTTAATCCTGACATGAAAAAGTACAGCATCTATTACATCCTATCCACTGAGTCAGACCAACAGCTTTCAGTCTGCTGTTTGAAGACCTTTCTCCGGGCTCTTTTCCCATAGGACTTCATGGCAAATGATTCTGGAGTATAAATGAATTTCTATCTATAGTACAATCTGTGTGTGACGGGGTCCACATGTCCACTGAAACTTTTTTAGTTCAACTGAAAAGGGATGAAAAAACTTTACAGCAGGCTTTTGAACTTTGCCCAGAGCTGAGGTATCTGATGATGATGGTTCTTGGAAAGCTGGGAGCTGTTTGTTGCCCACTGCCCTGGCACTGAGGACTGTTCCTGAAGCGCTGCGATTTACTCATGTTATTTGGAACTGGTTGAGCATTTTCAATACCCCAAGGAGAAGTAAAGTCCCAAAGTGAGAGTGGACTTTCTTCTGGCTTGATTTAGGAGAGAAAAGTGGCTGGTGGATTTTGTGCTAGCATTGCAAGCTGGAGGTTGTGGGCACAAGAAGTCTAACACATTTGGTTCCCTAGATTGCTCTCACAGCCCTGCTGCAAATGAGCAAGTATATGTGACCCCTTAGGGAGTTAGTGTTGTTGTGTTTGTATATAAACCTTTTCCTGAGAGATAATGGCAAAATAAATTAATGTTTCCCTGGCTCTCAGTGTCGGAGTCAGACAATTTTCTTTCCTATAGCCAGTAGGATTTTCAACTATTTGCACTCACTGAGGTGTTTTCACTTCTCTCAAGAATTAAAAGGGCTCTTGCAAAATTTCATAGCACATAGATTAAATGGGAAAGAATCACAGTTTTGGTAGGAAAAGACATATGATGCTGATGAGGCTGGTAAGACGTATGTACAGGTGCTTTAAAAGATGACAGAACTATTACACATGTAACTCAAGCTTACAGTGTTCTGTTTGCACATGGCTAGAGATTTGATTTGGAAGGGCCTCTCCAATATTATTTTCCCCTCGTCATACTTAACAGTGGCTAACTGTTAGAAGGGTTGCAGCGCACATTTCACCAAAAATAGCCTTTTTTCTTGTAGTTTTCTGCCTAGAAGAGCTACAGCCCGGGGGGCGCGGACGCACTTCCTATCACTGGCATTGGTGGTTCAGTGGTAGAATTCTCGCCTGCCACGCGGGAGGCCCGGGTTCGATTCCCGGCCAATGCAGTGTCTTTTTTTTTTTTGTTGTTGTTGTTTTCTCCTCTCTCTTCCCCTCCCCCCCGCCCCTTTTTTTCTTCTCATTTCTCCTTCCTTTTCCGCTTCCGTCCCGGCCGCCAAAACTTCTTCCAGCTCCACCCCGGCTTTCCCCGCACTCCCCTCGCCGCCGCCGGGCGGGCTGCGGGTGCCTGCCGGCAAAGCGCAGTTCCTCGGCGAGGCGGCGGCCCCAGCGCCGGCTGCGCTCGGGGCGGACAAGATGGAGGTGTAAGGGGAGGCGGGGAGGGCGGGGGGCCGGGCGGCTGCCGTCTTTCACCCCGAGCTGTGACCCTTCCGTGGCAGCAGCGGGGGCTTTGGGGCCGGGGGGTGTGCGGGGTACATCCGTATGGGCCTGCCCGCGCTGTGTGTGGGGGGGTACATCCGTGTGGGCCCTCCTGTGGGGTGTGTGCGTGGAGGGGGTACATCTGCGTGGGCTTGCCCGTGGTAGGTGTGTGTGTATCTGTAAGGGCCTGCCCGCTGCATGTGTGTGGGGGGGCTAGATCTATATGGACATACCTGCAGCGTGGGTGTGTATCTATACGGGTCTGCCTGACGTGTGTATGTAAGTAAGTATATACGTATGGGCCTGCCTGTGGTGTGTGAGTGGTATATTGGGCCTTTAACACCCCTGTAGCCAGCAGTGTGTTCAGGCATTCAGATGAGAAACTGAGGGGGGGTTTGTTTGCTCTAAAAATCTTGCTGAAGCATGTGTTTGTTTGGACAAAAGGTGTCGTGGCTCAGCTTGAATCCCACTCTCTGTCCCCATCTTCCCTGCCCTCCTGTCTCCTCGTTCTCTCTTCCCTGTTCTGCCCTGGGAGAGTTGAAACATGAATTATTTCTGCAGTTTCTGGGAGGGCGTTATTCCTGTGAGTGTCACATAGATGACTTATTCTAGGAGCTGAATATGCTGGAGAAGGAGAAAACCTAGTGACTGTGTGCCAGCAGTTTCAAACACAAGAGGCGAGTCAAAACTTTGGCTCGCCGATAATTTGAGGCAGTTACACCAGCCAGCCCCTAAGCTGCTGTCCCAGGGAGCAAGTTTTGTTGCCTTCCTACACTGACAGCACTATGCGTGTTTCTGTCTTGTTAGTATCACCGGGGCACAAAACAATCGGTTTTGACCTATTTTGAAGCCTAGAAACTCATTCTCGTGAGTTCTGTGGAGCCCCTTACATTGTGCGGTTATATATGTGTGCGTGGCACTGGTTTCTAATGAATAAAGGCATGGAGGATGCCAGTCCCGAGGGATGTATGTCAGCATCCACCAAAGTCAGCTGAGCTACTGCAGTCTGTGTTTTCCATGGATGCTTTATTATCTTTAAATCTTCTATATTACTATATATATTATCATTAATTCTTTTATATGTAATTCAAAAGCAGAGAACAAATAAGACACATCTATTGAAATACGGGTTTGTATTACGTTAGCCTTAATATGAGTAGCAGCCTGCAGAGAAATGACCTGTTCCTGCTGTTGTATACTGAAAAATGCTGTGAAACATACGCCGGCTCAAAGTTGCTTTTGCATGTGAGGAAGGATAGGATTTGCCCTGCTGAGAAAGATGCTTTTGATACCATTACTAGTATATCTGTGATGCTGCTTATATACCCACTTGTTTTTTATTGCCTTGAGTAGCACAATTTACTTTACTACAGGTGCTACCTTTTTAAGCACCAAGAGGGAGGTGCATCAGAGGTAGAAGACCTGGGGGCTGAAGTCCCGAGCTGTGGGTGGGTGTCAGTTGCATTGGTATGGAACAACTTACTCCATTTTGCACTTGAATTGCTGTTGGAATTTAATGTTCCTAATCTTGTACTTCCTGCCTGATGGCCTTCATAGAAGGAAGCTCTGCAACTAGGAAAACCTCTCTTAAGTTCTTACCATGTCAGAAGTGTCTGTTACTAGAGAAAAGAATCCTCCATAAAACATTGTGGTTTAAATATGCAGCATATTCTAAGCAGAAGACTTAAAAACATGAAGTGTCAGTGATATTTTTAGAGGGTGTGATGCCATATACTGAGATATTTTTTGATATATGCAGAAGACCTCAATAATATTTTGGTTTGGACTAAAATTTGGGCAAGTATTACTTATTTAAAGATTCTAAAAAGTGTTTATATGCTGGTGTTAACATGACTTCTATTTTTTTTTTCCTTTCTGATTAAATCTTAATCTCCTAGAAATTAAACACACTAGTTGACTATTTAAACATGTACATTAGAATTATCTATAATTTTTCTGAATGTAAAATTGATAGTTGATTCATGAGAGTCAGGACTGAAGAAAACTATTGCTACTTTATAATTCTGCAAAAGTTTTTGAAACTGGTCTTGTCTGTCGGTTTATAATTCTGGTATTTCAGCACAACAAAAATTGTTGAAGATTTGAGACTGACTCATTCACTATCCATTGTTAGAAAAAAAAAATTTGTGAATGTGTTTTTGAATTAAAAAAGAAGCAATTGTCTTAATGTGACTTCAGATAGATTTTGCAACTCATTTTCGCAGTAATGTATTTATATGACCCTCTCATTTAACAGAGTAATTCCCTATATAATTATTCTATAGCATTATTATTTCTAACAAAGAATGTCTTTGATCCATAGGGATTTTTGTAGCGATAGCCTGAATGCAAACATTCTGAAGAATTGCATTTACCTAACAACAAAAGCTATATAGTTTGTAAAACATGAAAGAAAACTAATGCGTGTATGAGCTCACTTGCTGAAGTTTCACTCGAGTCAGCGAAATGGAAGTTGAAGTTCATCTCAGCGTATTTTAGAAGGTCCTTTTCATTTAAAAACAATGATAGAACCTGTGGAAGTTTGTGGACTCATTTAACTCGTTTGAAAGTGATGAACGTGACAGTTCTATTCAGACAGTTGATGGTGCTTAACAATACATTGTACCTTTTTTTTTCTTTTTTTTCATAAGCTGCTGCACAGACCTGAGAAAGGCCTTTTTTTCCTTTTGTATGGAAACTTTCTGTTGTTGTGGCTACTGACTGCTCAGCAGAATGTGTTGTTCAGGGAATGTAGGATGCTCTGCGTCAGTTTTTCTCCCTTTTTTAATTTAAAAATATAAAATTACAATACCCCGTAGTAATTGACTCAGTGCATTCAGCCTACCAGCAGTGGATGACTCGGTTAATTGGTACAGAATGAGTGGGGAAGTGCTTGGCTGGTGGAAATAGGGAAACTCGGCCTTGCCCTACTATTAAAGGAGTAGTCACATAAAGATTCAAAGAATAAATAACTCAGTACAGTATGTGTAAATGTAGTGCCATATCTGTATCTATACACACACATATGTACGTTATACTAAAAATAGTATTTTATTTTTCCATACTATTGACAAATAAATAGCGTGTGTAATCTGTATTATTCTTCCTGTCAGTCTTTATTCAAATAAAACTGGAGGCCCATTTTGTAAGGAAGAGGCAAGGCAATTTGGTTTTAGATTGTCAAATTGGGTGAGTGAATGAAATAGCGTGGCTGAGTAAAAAGATTGTTGTTTAAGTGTATTTAAGTGTATGGGGCAAATTGTGCAATATATACTGTATAGTTATGTAATAATTCTGCTAACAGTATGGAAAAATACGTTCCAGAGATGGCATCAACTTGATAACTGTAGAATCACCAAAACCAGATTTCTTGATATTTATTTTTTTTTAAAACTGTATGAAAATAGTGTCTGCTCTTTTAGAGCCTGCGTGACTCAGCAAAGAAACATTTTAAACAGTTTCACTTGGAACATAAATTAATTGTTCTCATTTTTCCTTTTAGAAAAGATGCAAATGCGGCATTGCTAAGTAACTTTGAGGTAAGTTTATCTACTTCCTGGTTTTAAACCAGCAGTTTAAAGCTGTAATCAGTCACTTTATACTTGCTTGGAAGCTGAAAATTGCCAGTGGCAATCAGTAAGACTTGTGTGTGATTTCCACGCCCTCCATTTGATTTGTTACTAAGAAAACTTTTTGAAGAAAATCTAGTTTTCTGGAAAATTATTAGTTTTCACTCATAATGGGTACTGTATTATTATTTGGTTGGTCCCAAATCTGTATAAATAGATATAAATATATTTTTCAGATAGGTGAGGAACAGATCTTTAGAATGTCAGTAACTAACTTCAGCCTTGTCATATTTACACTGTTGCTATGTGGTTAGTTTGTTGAATCGTCTTGTGCATGTTTGTATGTTATTCTCCACATCTTGATACACTTGTGTATTTGGCCAAGTGCACTGGATTCACTGGTGCTTTGTGTGATGCATGGTGCATTGAATCCAAAATCAGGAACATGGACACCTCTAACTGGGCAGCAGTGTTCAAAATATCTTTTTAAAAATTTTATTATATGATAAGCCAATACATCACCAAGTGTGTGACACACTGATTGCTGGAGTCTTTTTAATACTGCAAATAAAAATTCTTGCAGAAAAAATCAAATGTTTCTCACAGATGGTTGCTGCTAGAATCAATGTTTCATATTTAACTCTAACCTTGTGGTGTGCAGTGTCATCTGAGAACCTGTAACTCATTAATGCTTACTTTTATTAAAGCCAGTGCTATTAGAAATGCAGTCTTACACCTCTGAATGTTTAACAGTATTTTTTTAAAGATCTTGGGGCATTTCCAAAGCAGGTAAGTACGTAACCAGGAGGCAGTTTGCTGATCTGACATGTGTTACTCAGGATAAACACTCCTAGAAGCCACTGAGGTGCCTTGATCTGGTGTCACGGGGAAGCTACAGTGACCTGTCATAACAAACTGTGAATATTGGCATACAAATAATAAAAAACCCCCCTTATTTTCTAATGTAGACAAGTTCTGAATCATTTTCCACTCTTAGAGGGATTGTTTTAGAGAGAAAGAAATGTAGGGTTCTTGTTGGTTTAACTTCAGCCAGGTAATGGAAAGATTTCAGTGCTTTGTTTATAAATGTAAAATTTTTAGAGGTTTTAATAACCCAGTTCTTTGTTTACATTGCTTTTTTGCCAAAGCTTGAAAGTTGCACAGCTGTTTCATCCTATTCTGAAGTAAATCTTAAAATGTTTTATCTGGAGCTGAATCTGTCTGTGTACAGCAGAGCAACCATCTTTGTAACAAGGTACTTGGAAAGAACTGTTTTGCCTGAGAAATAGATGATACTGTGTCAGCTGAACTAGTATTAAGTGTCTGTTAAAAACATGTACTATTGCGGTACAGAAAATAGCAAGTATTTCAGAGATTATTTATTGAAAAGTCATCTCTGCTTCCTTCTTTGCTGGGATATTTGTTGGAATCTAGGTATTACTGCCTGCTGAGATTCAAGTAGTGGTGTCAGTCATGTTATGTAAAATCTACAGGTGTCCTAAAGGTATGGTCCAGAATAGGGAGAATTGCAGAATCCGATCTTCATGCTCTTCAGTCAGAACTTTCTTCAGCTGAGTCTTTCTGTTGGTGAATGTACTATGTGTGTTGAAAAAGAGCAAAAGGAAGTGGAAAATGAAGTTACTGATGAGAGTGCTAATTTCTCATTTCCCTTTCACAGCACAGTTGTCCTCCATGCAGCTTTTCAATTCTTTGCAGGAAGGGATTTGCAGTGTCTGCAGCTATAGCCTTTTGGGGCATGGCTTTACACTGGTCTTCAAAGTACTGATATCCCCAAAACTACCGATCTCTTTCTGTTTGCTCACTTTCCAGTTGCAATTTGACTGACATAGCTAACATTCTCTTTCTCAAGGTAATATTTTACACCAAAAGTGGTGTTTGAAAGGAGTGTTCAGGACTGACATGTTGTATGTCCTATGCCTACATTTATTCTGTGAGTTTGGAGTTGTCATTTTCTATCTCATTGTCACTGGCTCTATTGTAATATTCATTAGATAAAAACTCATAGCTTCAATTTTGGCTTTCGTGTGAGAATTTACTACTGGTGTTTGGTACACAAGGTGTTCCTTTTTCATAGAAGATGCAGTATAAAGTAATTGCATGATTTCTAGCTGGTAATGTTCTCATTCTCACTGTTTAGAAATGTTTGTATTTTATTTCTATGGACTCGTCAGTTTATAATGCCATAGAATCTGGATCTTGAACAAGGCTAGCTAAAAATTAGGGGATAAACAGTAAGAAGTGGTCTGTTACTTTGCCGTGGTTATTGGCTCTGGATATACTGTAAAGCCTGAAGCAAAGCATCTGAAGAAAATTTAACTTAATGTGATTTAATATGGGAATAAAATAGTAACTGTGATACTGTCTCAATGTTTTGCTGCCTATCTAGCTATGATGAATAAAGATGTTGCATTGCAATGTATTTGACAAAGCACAGTTGCAAAAATCAAAACGCCTTCCTTGCCTTCAGACTTACCCTCTGAATCTCGTTCCTACATTAATATTCACTGCATCATAAATGTGAAGACAGCTTTATTACATCCTTTTCAGGAAAGTCTGCTTGTATTACACTGTTGTGATGAAATAGGGAGCTAATTTAATTCTTGTGGTTTAACATACCGTAACAGCATGCTGGTCACTGTAACATTTACTATTATGAATAACTCCACTGGAATTTACAATAGGATCACTAATCTCAGGAGCATCTATAGGTCAAGCCTTTATTTAGTTGGTTCCTGGCAGTGTGACAGTTGCAGAGTTTACTTTTTTTTTTCAGATTATGTAAAATTGCATCTCTGTGAGACAGAATATATATCCATTTTAATATTGTAGGTACATCTGTCATAACAAATCCAGTAGGGCCATAAACTTCTGTGACATTCTGCTTCAAGCATCACTCATATTTAAATAGGAGCTCTGTGCCAGTACAGGAGGGTATGACCCAACTCTGTTCAGGACATGATATAAGATAAACAAGTAAGATAGATTCATCTTGGCTGCTTCTCCTTTGGGGATCTTGGATAACATCTAGCAAGTGCTGATAATCTGTTTAAAATAGTCACAATTTTTAAAAAATAATTTACATACGTATTCATCATTCTGGTGCCAAAACATTTTTCATTTCAGCTGCTGGTATGCTCACCAAAGAAGCCACGCTTTTTCTGTTGTTGCTTGGTTGATAGGATTTTACGTTGTTCATTTATGTTTTCCTGCTGTAACATTTTTAGGTAAAATACTCTCAAATGGTCTAAACCACTTTATTTTAACCCCCACAGGTGTTCCAGTTACTTACTGATCTTAAGCAGCAGCGCAAAGAGAGTGGAAAAAACAAGCAGAGCTCTGGTCAGCAGAATCTGAACACAATCATGTATGAAGTAAGTACTACTGTGAAATTCTTTTGTAAATAAACCCAAGCTGAAGTAATTTGCATCCTTAGGTCTGTATATTAATAATTTTGTATCAAATGTCCCCTATTAAAAACACAACAAAATATTTTATTTGACACTTTTCTGTGGTCAGTTTATTCAGATTGTAGGCTAACTGGGCAGGGCAGAAGTGTGCAGCTGCTCTTATTAAGATCTATCACAAAAGAATAAAAATACCCCCATTTTTTAACTGTTTAGTTTTGTGGGTTCTTTTTTAATCTAAATATTCTATCCTTTTAAGACCCAGGGCAGAACTTGCTATCATCTGCTGAAGCGATGATAGCATGTAATCATGATTTCAAAGCTGAGGCACAGATCACATGGTATTTTTTTATTAACAGAATTAAACTAATAATTTCCAACTAAAATAGAGTTAGGTTTTTTTGCCAAAAGAATAGCAAAATCACATGTACAGATAGCAACATCAATGCCAGATTGGTAATAAATGTTTAATCTAGTGCTAGGAAGAACTTTTAAAATCATAAAATACAAATACTAATGTTTGAAATACCTCAAATTAGCAACTTTGTAACAGACTTGCAGTGTGACCTATTGTGTCTGTCAGAGAATTGTATGAGTAGCACCACAGTTGGCAGCAAGTTGAAAGCAGCTTGCCTTGCTTGCATGAGTAATCCAGTTGAGCAGGGAAACTACTCATGTGAAAAAGATTTGGCCTAGGCTTTGTTCTTGTTTTAGTTCTGGCTTTGTTTGAAAAGGTATAGAGCTGTAATTCCTAATCCTCATATTCAACAAAATAGGGGCTTACAAAAAAATCTAATTTAAATCTTCATGGAGACTAACAGTCTTCCTGTACCTCTTTGAAACAGCTGAGAAAGATCCTGTAAGTATATTTTGTCAGAGTGCAGAAAGCTTTAATTGCATTGGTTTATTGCTACGTGTTAAATACCTATAGGAAGCTCGTTTTTGTGCATGGAGTGAAGCTGGTGTAAACTCTAGGTATATTTTAAGTATATTTGACTGAAAGAAAACCAGAATTTGATTGTACAGGTTTGTCTTTGATCATGCTGAGTATGTCTTCATGAGCTGTGTGCAGGCTTGTGTCCTTTGGTGCTGAAATAACTAGATGAAGCTTGCCAAACTGGAGCTATGTTTTGCTGTATGTCTGGCATTTTAATTGTTTTGATGTTGCCAAAAAAAGACTAAACTGGAAAAGAAATTACTCCTATTAAATAATTCCATTACATGACAATATGATGATTTCATTTTAGTCGTTATTGGTGAGTAACAACTACATTCTGTCTAAAAAGGTTAGACAGAGCTTACAGAAAGGAGGGTTATCTAACACCTTATTGTGCTTTTAAATATATTTCTCAGTAGTTAAATGAAACTGGTCCTTAAGAATACCAGTGATTCATATTTCATCAACACTCTGTCTCTTAAGTAGGATGAATTATCCTGTGTTTCTGGTCTGTTTTCCTTTACTTAGCATTTTTAAATTATAACAGATTTTAATGGAAATACATTTGCATATTTTCTTATTGCCATACTGATCTTGTAGCTCATTTTTTTCCCAGTATCCATTGTTTTCTGCTCTGTGAATACTGATTCAGCTTTTTTGGCTTCTGACTTTTCAAATGTAAATATTTAGTTCAAAGATTTTATGAGAAAGAAACTCAGAGTATCACATAGAATATTATATTTTTTAATTATTATAGGTAATCTCTGTGTGTGGTATTTTACCACGTGTATCTGTATTTGCAATCCAGTTAGTGCAACGTGAGTCAGTTGTATTGATAATTTTAAGCTTTATGTATAGCTATGCAGTATCAACAGATAAAGATTTTCTTCCTTAATTCAAAACAAGCATTGATGATACTCTTAGATCTTTCAGTTGCTGATGCACACGATGCAGACAGTGCAGGGATTTCCTTGACTTTTCCACTGATGCTCGTTATTTCCAACTTTTCATTTTGGGATCTAATCCAAGCAACAAACAACATTCAGGAAGATTCTAAGCTACTTCCAGTGAAATGACAGCTGTGAATGGGAAATTGTGTGGATTTTTATCAACAAATATATTTTTTAACTTGGATCAAATTGCATTATGTATTATCTGTCTGCTAGGTGTCGTGTTGTTTTAAATAAAGCAAGCAGATATAACATTTGCTGCAAGTTAGCTGAGGTTGGTAGGTGTTTCATGTAAAAAATGGAGCAAAGATAAATTGTCTCACATCAGCTAGACATTTCTAATACTACAGTATTCTTGCAGATTTTCATGACAACTCACCAAACCTGCTTCTGTGAACTTTGAGAAAGCATTGTCAAATATGCATATAAAGGATGAAAACAACTATAGACTGGGGAGCTTAACAAGTATTTATGGGTTGGCAGTGAGAGTATCCCTGGCACTGAGCACATGAAAATTTGGCAGAAGATAACATGGTTTTAAGAATGAATAGAATTCAACTTTTCTGAAGTGTTAGTGCTTTTAAAAAACAAAAAAACAAAACAACAAAAATATCACCAAAAAACCCCATGTCTTGGGGCCTTTTAAAACTAGCTTTGTATCTGTAAATGAATGGTTCTAAAAGGAAAGTTGAATCTGAGTGATGCTATTCAGCACAGCTGTAAGTCTGTCTTGATCACAGTCTTAGCATCACCTGAGATTATTTCAAACCAAGAAAACAGATCTCTTTCACAAACAGCAGGTGTTTTTTTAGTAGACAGAGCTAAAACTCACTCCTTTCCTGTACTCATCAACATGCGATTTTGGGCTTTGAATAGATCAGATAAATGGCAGTCCAAAGCCACAGAGAGAGTAGTCAGAGCTGTAATTCTCACCTGGGTGTGTAATAAGATGACTGGGTCATGTCTATACAGAATTAATTCACTGGGGCTTTCGGGATAAGTACTAATGTAATTTCCTTTACATAAAGTTGTAGTTACGTATTGCCTGTTTCTTATTCCCTCAGCAAATATCAGTATAGACTTACTGAAGACAGAAAAATGTGGGTGATCCGTCATCTATGACAGCACTTCTCACTTTTAAAATAAAAAGCCAAATCCCAAAACCTGAACTAACTTTTCCAATTTTTCTGAGTAGTACTGAGGAGACTTTTCAAAATCAGTTTGTTTCATACACAGCTGGTAAAACAAATAGTAACTGTGAAATAACGTATACTTTCTTTTTATCCATTTTAGACACTGAAGTACATTTCAAAAACACCGTGTAGATACCAGAGTCCTGAGACTGTGCGAAATTTCCTCATAGCAATGAAAGGTCATAAGCTAACCAAGTAAGTAGAAATGTGCCTTTGAATGAAAGTATAAACTCATGGCATTGTTGAAAAACTGATCCCCATGTACACAGCATGATAATCTGTCTGGTTTTGGTCGATGTATTTTAAGCATTTTCTGCCATTATTTAAATACTCTTCCAAACATCTTTTCCTTCACTCATTAACATCTACCTGGATGAGTATGTCCTTAAGTGGGCCTGTGTTTACCAATGTGTTTCTCAAACAGATTCTTGACAGAATGTTTTTTAGCATGCTTTCACATGGTCTAAGCACAAAGTAGAATTCATCAAATGTTTTCTGAGGAAGGAGTTGTAAGTTGTAAATGGGTTTTGTACACCATAAGAGAACTGCAAAAAAAAAAGCCAACCCACCCTCAGTTTATTATCTGTCTTATTTCTGTGAACTTCCTTAAGCAAAAATGCATTCATTCCTAAGAGGCAAAAAAGGTGGCTGCATGGCAGGGAGGTAATGAGTAACTAAAATCCTTATATAGATGTATGAGAAGGAATGTTATCTGAAGTTAAGTTTTATGTGAATCTGTGAACCCCGGCTGCCACAGATCATCTTTCAGGGTTATGTTCTCTAATCAGCATTTAGCAAACTAAGATGTTCGTCTTCTCCTTTTGTGCTGTTTGTCCACTGATACTTATGTCCGCTAGGACTTCTGAGATGTACATTTCAGTTACCTAAACATTGTGTCAATCAACCTTCCCCCACTCCCTGCAGTTTCTAGTAAAGCTGAACATACAGTTTATTTTTCTTATCTTGGGAAGTCCTGCATAGAAAATAAAAGATTTCCTTCACAGTTACAAGAAGATTAAGTGGGCATTTTTCCTCTTTGGCAGTGGTGTGAAGGCCTGTTCTCAGTGCTTGAAATGCATAATTCCCTCAAACCTCTCTCGGGAGTGTGAGCGAAGCATGTTGTAAATAGTCAGACCCAAAAGAAATTGAATCAGTTGTCTACTTGCTTGGATAGTTCTAATCAGTGATGTGATTTTTAAAGCAGAAAGAGCAAAGATTTAGTTGCTTCTAAATGACTCCTTCACCATGAAGTAGTTTATGCTGTATAGACACTAACTGCATTTTTCCTTCCTGCTGGAAGGATTCCCAAGGAGTTCATGCTCTGGGAAGGAGGCTTGTACTAATAATTTGGTTCTGTCACAAAAACTGAGAGCTTCTGGAGAGTGCAGTGCTACAGGGCAAGTTTTTACCCTGTCCAAAGCATAGTAAGTTGAGTAGAAAGCAGATTGTCAGCTATTTTGTTGACTGTCAGTGCCCCCTGTCAGCAGCTCTGATCACAGTGTTGCTGTCATTGCAGACACAGGGGTGCTAGTGCTTGGAAGCTTTGTCATGGGTATTGTAACTTAGCTTGTAGCGCTTTCTTTGTAGAACTAAATTTGCCAGGTCAGTATGTCAGTGTTAGTCTTCCCGTAGTTCATTTTATATAGCAGGATACTAATTTATGTAGCGAGAAAGGTATCTTAATTATTTTCTGACATGGAGCATGAAGAAAATACTCTATTTACTGTAAAGAGCTGACAGTATGGAAATGAAAGAGAGTATCTTGAAATTGGCAGCAAACTGTTTCTCGAGTAAGTAGTGAGCATCCTTCATTTCTAGTAATGTGAAACTGTCATCCTGTTTGAAGCGAAGTAGATTTGTTCAGTCTGTACAAGGCAGCAGTTTAGGAAAGCACCAGGAGAATGCTGTATCACAGCAAAAAGCCAGCAGGAGTTAAAAGAAGCGAATGAGTTAGGTATAAGAGTCCCATTAAAAGTCAAAGGAGTTTTTCTTGTTTTAAAGCTCATTTCTAAAATTCTTTATAGTGGAATTTGACCAGGAGTTTAGGGTTAACTCTTACAAAAAGACAGGGGAGCTCTTTTATCACATTAGATACCCTGACAGCATCAGCTCCCTGGTATGAGGTCTCCAAGAGTGAAGTACTAAATGATGTTGGGTCATAACACAGAAAATTCTAGCTACAAAATCTCTGTCTCCCATAATGCCTCTCTCTTCTGTAGAAGATCTACCCGAATATTCACCTTCCTACACCTGCTTGTTCTGTGAATATCGCACTGCTGCAGAGGTTGAAATAGTTACAAGCTTCAAATTAATTTTTTTACTATTTTATTTTTTACGGATGCTAGGAGGTGCCTTTGGTTTTAGGTATCATCCTCGTTTGTCCTTTTTCTCTGAATCAGCCTAAGATAAGCAAGAGAATTATTCCTGAGTCATTTCCTTCTGCATAATGGCAGAAGGATGAGAGTGAAGAGCCAACCACTAGCCTAGATTAGAAATTTACCATATTTATGTCTTATCAGAACTCAGATTGGACTGTGTTACTTTAGTTTCTTGAGCATCCTGTACAGTTTTTACTTTGCTAATATCTTTGTCCTCTGGTAAAGAACTTGCCAGCTTTGCATTTGCCATGTACTTTATGGTGTAAGGAACAGAATTGTTGAGTGTGATCCTGGCATTTCTTCTTTCTTCTAATCTTTTCTTTCAGACACTTCAAGCTAGAAGTACCAGAGCCCATCTGGCAGCCTTTTAACACCAAAACACAGAAAGCATATGGTGTGCAATTACTATATAATGCACTTTATGTTAAACTGCTTAAAAAAGTAATGCCTCCAAGGAAATTTTGAACTACCCTTTGGTTCATAACCAAGATCATTTCAGCACTGCTGTATTGTTAAATAAATGAAGAACTAAAGGCTTTAATAATTTCCGTTCTGTGGGATGGAGGTGGTATTTGTAGAAAAGACTTCACTAGAGATTTCATTCCAGTTATCTGGTAGAGAGCTTTCTTCCCCTTTGAGAGGAAAGAACCTGCAATGTTTGCTCTCCAGGACCTTGCTTACATGATTTTGCTGTAATGACCTTTCCTCCCACAGAGAGTAATGAATTCCAGAGTCTGTCTGCTACTTCCTTTCTGGGTAAGGCATTCAAAGCTATGCTGTCTCCATTAATCTCAGAGGTGGTCATATGCTGTCTCTGTTGGTAAGAGTTTTCTGAAGGTATCTGATTTAATTTAAGGTTTATGTTAATTGGTGTCTGTCCTCAGTGAAGGCACAGCAGTGTTTTCTGTTTTCTCATTGCAAAAAGAACAAATGGTCAGAAACAGCCGGTCATCTTAGACTGCTTCCTCTGCTCTTTAAATTCCTTCTTGTGACTGTGCCTCTAATCAAGGAGGAAACAATTAACCAGGGTATTTGCGTTGTCAATTAGGCTCAGCAACTTCTTTTCTAATACAAAGATTTCAGGGCTTTGAATATAAGAAGGGTTTGCAGCTATATCTGAAAACCTGATGGAGGTAGGTAGTGTGATGACTTTCCCTACTTAGCATGTTATTGCAGCACTCAAGCACTAGGTTGTGCTAGTGTATTTGAGAATTTCAAGGTAGTGAAGAAAGACCAGACACCATCCGGAGAAGCACCAAGAATTGAGGCACATTCATTTAAAGAATAGAGCTTTTAATCAAGTGACTCCTAATTTTTCCTGCTCTCCTTCCACAAGTCTGAAATAATTACCATGCAGAAGTCATTGTTTGTCAGACTACACATGATGTCCTGAAATGTTCTGACTCCAGTTAGAGAGCTGCTAGTGTTGTGCTGGCAAATGGTGCAGTTCCTGTAGAATCACCTCAAGTCTTTTCTTTCTTTTATTGCTGATAATTGCTACTCAAAATACCAGGTTAACTGACAAGCATATCTCTTTTGCTGATACCCTTCCGTTTTGTGATGGGTTTTTCTCCTTAGTGTTAGAGGCAGAAAAAAAAAAACAAACCACAACCTTTTTAAAAGGGAAATTTAAAAAATAAATACTAACTTGTACAAACAACTTAAACCTTTCAGTGTCATTTCAGATAGCTGCTTTGCTAAATGGCGCAAATTCAAAGACTTCTAAACATATATTTCACTGATACAGCCAGTAAAGTATGGTAAAGCACAGTTTTTTCCTTGTCATCAGTTATTTTGGTAAAATTGAAACTGTAGAACTGAGATTTTTTTTTTTTTTTAAATAAAAAGCTTTGAACTGACATCGTAAATTTTATTATTACCTTGTTGAGGCCTCAAGCTCTGGCTAACTCTACAGTACAGTAAGCCATGTTGTACTTGGAAATAAAGTATGCCACTCACAGCTAATTTTCCAGTTTTAGTCCCTGGAATGGCTTCATATTTTGTAAGGTAGTGCGAATAGCATTTCATGAAAAGTATATTTATTCAGCTTGCACTCTGTAATTATGATTAAATGAAAATTGGCTCTACTTGTACTTCTTCCTGTTACTGATAGCCTATCTTAGATCTGATTTTGGAATAATCAAATTTCCAATCACTGCTTATTATTATAATTTTTAAAAATTTGACTTAAACATTACCCTTTTTGTCTTTAAATCAACACATTCAAGGCAGTGTTGAGCTGAAAATCAGCAGTACTTTTAGAAAGTATTTTCTCTCATTACTGCCAAAAACTACAACAAATGTAAACCTCTACAATATTAAAGGCTGAATGATGTACTTTGTAATTTTTGTCTCCTCCAGAGCTTTTAAAGTGAATATTCAACACCAAAGTCAGGATGGTGCTGTTTTAACAATAGTAGCAGTTAATAGTCTTTAAAAAGAGTACTGTGTTTCTTCCTGAACTGATTGGAAATTAACCTTTCCATCTGTAGCAGTGTTGCTCAATTTTTGCATTCAGATTCCATAATCAGTCCTCAGCCATTTCATCCTGGACGACTGTACTGATGTTGAAGTCCAGTGGTAACCCCTGCAGAGAATACAGCCCGCTGTGTTGCACAGGCCACGTGCAGACTGGCACTATGATTTCACAGGCCACGGCTCGGGGCTGCTCATCCATAAACCGGATCCTGTGATCTTGATTCAGGCAACATTTTACATGAGTTGCAGTGATTGACTTAAGATCGTAGGATTTTACTTGCTTAAGTATTTTTAGCTAATAATAAAATACACAGTTGTGTACACTGCAGTTACTTTATG